ATGAAGATGATGGCAATAGCACAGCTGGCATTGGTGTGGGTTTTGAGTAGATACTGAAGTTGCTTGCATTTTTGAGTGGGTTTTCAAGTAATGATTTGTCTTCCTCAGAAGCTTTTGTGTTGATGCTCACTAGCTCAGCACCTTGGTTTGTCAGCTTCCCCCCATTTGTTTGTTTTTTACATATATAGTCTACTGTACTAAAATCTATTTTTGTTTCTCATTTATAAACTCCAGCCAATAGTTAAGTACCACTTGTCTGCTTTGTCCTAAAGGAAACTGCTCACCAAGATAAGCTGCAGACCTCCCTTTCCTAAATTGTCTTCTTCTTCCCTCCATATCCCCTGCCTTGCTGTTAGCAAGCGGATCCTTGAAAATAAGGCTTTGATCTGTTAACTATAGAGTGGCTTCCAGGTCATTGCTTCTTTTTCCAGGTCTTCCTGCCTACTAATGTGTGTTAGGTTGAATGAAGGAACAGAAAAGTCAAGAAACACCAGAAAGATTTTTAGCCTTTGTCATTTAACCTGAGTTCTTACTGTATCCATTGTGATATCCATATAGAAATGTGTTTAAAAATACAAACTCTTGGAAACTAGAAGGTGTGAGCTTCACAGCTCTAGAGGTGCTTGTTATGGGAAAGCTCTGCAGCTAGCACAAGGCAGGAAATGTGGAATGCAGAGACTTACTGATAGAGTTAGGGAAGACTTCTGGGGTGGGGGTTCATTTTGAATGGATCTTGTAGGACCAGGGGTTGAGTGCCAGCGGCATAAACAGGATCCTGTCCAGGGAATACCTGGGTCGTGGAGGCTAGCCTCTTCATCTTCTAGGCCCCCCCCCCCCCATGTTCTTTTCTTTCTCAGAGACTTAAAAGCTCTTGCCCATCATGCAGAGTGCATTTATGAAGTAGTAATTAGCTTTCCCATGTTTTATTAATCCCATCTGTGACTGCCAATCAGCGCTTCTGATCAGCATGAGATAACTGGTGTGACCGCACTGAGTTGCTGTAATTCTAGCCCAGAGCAAAGAAAGTTGATGTCTCTGTCAGTCTGTGTGCAGCTTATCAGGCCAAATTCCTGTTCAGCCTACAGAATTGCCGGGATAGCTTGAAGAGCCTCATTACTACCTTGGTGGACCCTTGAGGGGCCTCAGTTTAGGAACAATTTCCATCCAGGAGCTGTGCAACTAGAGTCTTTAAGGATGGAAGGGAAATAAGGACCACAGCTATGTGTTAATTACAATTTGTTCCAATTTGTCAACATAGCTATGTTTCCCACGTGTTCTTAATTAGTTGAATTACAGTTTTTGAATTAGCTATAATAATTATTTTCAAACATTTTTCTTTTCTCCCTTGTAATTTTTAGCTTGGTGTAAAAATTGCCAAAGCAATTGCTTGCCACAAGTTTGTAGAAGCCAAAAAGGAAGCTGAAAATTCACAAGCTGCTCGAAAGAAGAAGAAGCTGGCATGGGGGTAAGTTTACTTAGGATTTCTGCAGTAAATATACTGACATCCTAGTTGTTGGAGAAAGCCTTCTGTTGCATTTGTAAATCCAGTTTGTAGGCAATTGGTAACTTGTACTTTTCGTGTCATGTTGAATGTTTATTAGATTATGAGTGTGGAAGCATTTCTTCATTCTCTCTGATGTTTATTCTACAAACAATGGAGGATATGAAATCTTCAGATTTATTTTCTTTAGTCTCTAGTAGTAAACATGTTTCTTCAGCAAAATGTTTTTATTTTAGAAATACATTGAAATTTTTTTGTTCTTCATTTTAGGTTTGAAGCAAAGAAGAGATGGGAAACCAAAAGCAACATGGGATATATGTAACCTTGCAGAGCTCGGAACACTTACAGACTCACATACTCACATTAACAAAACTTTCCTGCTTAAATTGGAAATTGATCGAAGTAGGAAAAAAATGTGCATAAAACTTAGGCGTTGATGATCAACTTTTGGACTTTTTCTAAGGAGTTTATTCTTGAAGTGAATGTTTTTTGTTATTTGTGTAAGAAACTAAGCATGCACAGAAAAAAAAAGTATGGTTTTTGTTTTTTACTTATTTATTTGCATAGACCTACAGTCTAAAATCAATCTGCTTTTCATTTGTTTGGTATAGCAAAGCCCGTGAGGTCCTTGGACTTGCTTTGTCTGTTCTAGGCATGACAACACTGATTCTGGAATTGTGATTTTAAGATTGTGACAATTTTTACAAATAATTTTACTTAATGTCATAAAAACAGTTATTGATCCCTTACTGGCAGCAGTAGAATTGATATTTTTATGGTCACATAGTACAATAATTTTTGTATATCTTCAGATGAGATAATTATAAAAGGGGGATAAAATAAGTATGTAGAGGATGGTTTAGTTTCAGCTCTGCATAAAAATGTAACTATCTCAGCTCTGTCATTCTTTAAATTATTAGATGATATAGCTACATTAGATTATATATTATACTAGATGTATAGTTTTATTAAACAGCTAATTATAATTCTAAATAACAACTGAATTGTCTAAGAACTGGTTTGTTTTATACTTCTCTTTCCCATTACTACTTAAAAGACTAAATGACTTACTGAGGCTAAGGAGAGGACTGGCACCATAGCAAGGAGTTTTTATTGAGTGTCTGTTCACATTCTTTATGGGAAGCAGCTTTGAGAACTCATATGACCAGCTACACTCGGATGTTATGAAAAATGAGTTCTGATTATAATTATATTACTGTTTCTTACAGATGTAAAACAGCAAAGCAGTTTTATTGATTTATGATGATATATTTAATTTTTCTCTATGTCCCTACAGTAAGTGAAGAATTAGTTGCTACTTGAGTTCAAAAATCTACCTTGCTTCTTTTTTAGTTGAGAAAAGCCATTATACAGAAAGCAAGATTTAGTAGATGGTATGTTTACTGATTTATCATGAAAAATATTCACACCAGATATTGGCATACTATACATTTTAGATTTTCATATTTTGTTTCACTTTGTAGACCTACAACATCCCATTTCAGATTCTTAGTCAATACAGACTTACAGAACAAGAACCTTTTCTTTCAAAATCCACTACATAATCTGCTGGTTTTGTCTGAAACATAAAAATACAGTTTCTTTAAGCCAGGTTTAGTTTAGATTGTCTCATACACAGAGCCTGGCAACAGATACTGCCGCTGGCATCTTCCTTGTTTCTCTTCTTCCTTATGTGTATATCTCAGGCCGTTTAGTGACCCTTGCAGGCATGTTCACATGTCTTCTGCTGAGGCCTTGCCACAGTGGTCACCTTTAGGGTCTGACTTGGAAGCAAGCTTCAGATCAGTCTGGTCATCAAAACCCTCTTCACCACATCTACTGCCAACAGTTGCCTCTCAGCACCTCACAAGAGTTCTTGTGGCCTTGGGAGCTTTTTAACTTGAGTGGAGGGCAGTGTGGTGGGCTGAAGTGCTCGGGGTAGGAGTCCTTTGGGATGAGAAGCTGTATTTCCTAAGTCCCTATTCTTTTGGGGATGTGGGTTGTGGAAAGCTTGAAGCACACTGGTACTTGGACAGATATCGAGATGGGAGGGAACAACTTGGAAAGGAAGGGGCTAGATATCTTGGGTTGTACCTGCTGGTCTCTTTTGGGACCAGTTTTAGCTAGTCAGCTCTAATATAAATTAGACAACTTGCCCATTAAAGCAGAAAATGAGAGCATTATTCCTACAGTGCCAATGTTGCCAAGAGGCATAGCCATTTGTCCTTTCCATTCTGGTCACATTGAAATAAGGATTCTTTGTGGATCAGTAATAACTTCGGTTCCTGAAGCTTCAGCATGTGCATTTACCACCAGAATGCATGCATTAGGTTAGCAATGTAAATGTCAGTTATTGTTAACTGAGATTAATATGTTTTAGGCCATTGGTATGGCATTAAGGTAGCTCTGATTTATTGTTTAAGTACTTTAGGCTAAAACAGCTTACTAAAGAACAGTAATTTTGAGCTTTACAGCAGTAGTTCTGAGAAGTAAAGTTGGTAGTGCATTCTTGTTTAGGAGCCTGCGGGATGTTTCTGATTTTCAACAGAACATTCTATTTCTTTCACCAAAAGGAGAGTTTGAATATATAATTTCAGGCCTGCTATAATTAGTTCTGATGACAGAGTTAAATACCTCAGCCAAGATTGTAAATCAGTAGCTAAGCAGGTTCCTGCAACTGATCATAAATCCCAGACTCCATCTTTTGAACATTAGGTATGGGGTGCAGACAGACAGTTAAGAAAGCAGGGGCAGACCAAGGACAGGAACAGAATGTTATCTGAACTTTAGGTAACAACTTTAAACCTCCCATTTAAAATCAACTGATATTCCTTATACCTTTGTGTAAAATGTTAAATCTTTTAAGTATTTTAATAACTCAGGTTATTAAAGTTTGAGTTTCTGAAAATATGAAGACATAGCACAGAATGTCTAAATTCATATTGGGCAGATTAAGATTAATAATACTTTTATAGAAATGTATGTCTTAATAAGTGAAAAAACTGTATGAGACTTATGTTTAAGATGCCAGTTGTGCAGTTTGTAAAAAGAGAGAGCAATATCTAGGGAAGTAAGGCAGTGTTGTGTTAGACCCTATTTTGGAAAATCAACTTGGTGAGTCCTAGTCATCAAATACAGAACCAACAGAGACAATTCAAGTTCTTCTCTGTTGGCAGAAGTCAGTTTTATTTTTAGTATCTGGCAGGGTTACAAATGCTTTGCATGTCAATTTAATATTTTTCAAGCCAACTGTTTATTCATTGGCTTAAAATTTACACTCTACTAAAGTCTTAGCACTGACTTTCATGAAACAAATAGCAATATTTGGACAAAGTATGTACATGAAAATCTTTTTCCAAAACCAAATGTGGATTGGTATTTGTGGCATCAGTGCCTTCAAACCTGGTAAACAGATCTGAAAGTACTTTGAAACAAAAGACTTGATAAACCCATGGCTGCACATTTCTTGTACTTTGTGTTGTTGTTGTTGGTCGTGGGGTTTGAACTCTGGGCCTAGATACTGTCCTTCAACTCTTCAGCTTAAGGTGAGTGCTCTACCACTTAAGCCACAGCGACACTTCCAGTTTTCTTGTAGTTTATTGGAGATAAAGAGTCTCAAGGACTTTCCTGCCTGGGCTGGCTTTGAAACATGATCCTTAGATCTCAGCCTCCTGAGTAGCTAGGATTACAGGCGTGAGCCACCAGCGCCCAGCTCTTGTACTTTTATTATGAAGTATTCAGAACATTCATCTAGATTTTCAAACTTAAATTGTTGGAAACTTCATGGTTGAGTGTGTGTTGTTTAGTGAACTGGCAGGAGTCATTTTCTCAATGCAGATGGAGTCTCTTTAAAAGACCGTGAGATCCATTTCCATTTTTCAGGTTGAGGGATTTGGTAATATGATCACAACTCTATTCTTTATCTGTTACTTTGTCCACCTTCCACACTATGCACCCAGAAAGGAAGAAACTTCATCCTCATGAGGTCCCACCATTGTGGTTGTAATCAGTACAGACTTCCCAGAGAAGGGATTTTTGACCTCAAGAACAAACAGGACACCATGAAAGGCCTAGGCAGCCATGAAGAAATTTAGGACTTCCTGTTTTGCTTTGGTATTGGAATGAAATAAGCAGCTCTTCAGGGTTACCTCTTCTAGCTCACTGGTGAGTGACCTGTAGGTAGGTGTTTACTTGGCCGGAATGGCTTCAGAGAACCACATTGGCTTTGGTGATTTTGGCCCAGGGAATACAGGCTCTGATGGAACAGTGTATGAAATGCCATGAAGTGCACTTTGCTTTTAGATCTGCTTGTAAAATCAAGAATTAGCTGGGATATAATTACATATTTTTATTGGTATTAGTAATCCTTTTTTAAATTCAAGGGGGAAAAAAAAACAGCATAGAAGTTTTCCAAGTAATTTTTTTAAAGGGTATACCTTTTATAGCCAGATCAGATGTCTTAAGGAGACAGATGAGCCAACCACAAAGAAAGGGGCAGGGAAGGTACTGCCCGAGAGAAGCTCCTGGTCCTAAGTGCTTTCGTACCAGCTACCCTTGGTCCCCACTCACAGGCACCACTTCAGCAGTTGCTACCCACTCTTCCTCCTGGGCCCATCGGCCTCCTCTTGCTAAATTGCTGCAGGGGGTCTGTTAGGTGACACGTATGGAATGAGGTAATCTTTTCCCACCTCTCATTTCTGATGGGTGTGTCTATCCAGTTATTACTTGTTCATTGAATCTAGAGCTTTAGAAATTAACAGCTACAGTACAAGCTATAATTATTGATGTCTGTTTCTTATTCATCTGTAAGTTCTGGCATTTGATCAAGAAGTTAGTATTTCACTTTATCTTCAGGCTGAATGTCTCAGCTATCAGGGTTTTATTGTTTGATGGATAGCATACAATTATGACTGCCCAGAAAATAAAGTGTTTTCGTTGGTAAGATGGGTGATACTAGAAGCAGTTACAAATGTCACAAGGAATGATGAAACAATGCAGCTTCTAGTTTCCCTGAACTTCTCCCTCCAGTAATAGACAAGAAACCTTGACTGAACAGCTATTCTGTCAGATACAGAGCTTAACTCTGACATGAACAAGATAAATAAGCCCATTCTAGGGAGATATATGTACACCAAGTTTTTGACAACTTGATTTTTAGGTGGGTTATTGGAAAATGAGTGATGTTTTCTTTGCTGAATGTTAAGAAGCAATTCACATATAACAGCCTGTGTAAAAACTATAGTGTATACAGGGTGCTGTGTTTTCTAGCTGTTTAGTTGGCTACAGTTGCTCTCTGGCTTTGTGACTGATCCCATGCATTCATGTCACAGTGGTGATTGATGCCCTGACTTTTCTCTTATTTCCTAGGCTGTAGCGGTGGAGTTCATTGATGGAATGTCTAGGGAAAATGTTACTATCTGTTCTGTACATTACTTTGTAGTAATGTACATGCCTTTTATCTTACGAAGGTTGTGCCGTGGTGCCTGCCCTGTTGGAGTAATGCTAGTTGCTGCCATATGTCACCCAAAATGTAATGACTCAAACATGATTGAAGTTTATTTCTTGCTCATATGAGAAACAGAGACTAGTTAGCGCTCCTGCTACCAAAGGCCTCTCTTCTATGCAGTCATTGAGAGACCCAGGTTGCCAGTTCCCATCTACTTTGTTTTTCTAATAATCTGTATGCCTTAGTTGACTGGAGGGGAAAAACACACTTGAGGAAGCTAGGAGCCAGCCTGGAAGTTAATCCTGTCTGCCTTGCACTGGTTAGAACTTCATGACTGCACTATAGTATCTATTGCACAGAAGGCTGGAAAATGATGGCTCTTCCCAGAACAACAACAAATAAACTAGCAAATAGCAGGGCCTTCCCCATTGTTTCAATCACATATGACCTTGAAGTATTATGTTTGGTTGATGTTAAATGATACAAACTATTCTTAGTAGTTTGATGTAGTCATTTTTACTTGGATGTGTTGATGTAGTTGAGTCAAACATGC